AAGCATTTGGACTGAGGTATTAAAGAATTTCCCCTTTCTCTTCCCTCCCCACAGGTACTTGATGATAATATCATCTACAACTAAGTAGGGGATGTTTACAAGGTCCAAGCCACAATTAATGAGGAAGGAAGATTTTTCTAACACTCCCGTGAAACATTTAATGAGCTCTGAAATAGTGCTGGCAGGCCTCAGAGGAGAAAGGTCCTGTTTCAAATTGAACTTTCCAGTTTACTAAATGGCAGTGGACTGGAGCCCCAAGCACTATTTATTTTCAGAGACTATTTTTATCAGAAAATACCCAACTCCTGAAATGCTCTTCTACTCTAAAATTCTTTACCCCTCTGTTGTAGCTGCCATACCATCAATGGCACTTGCCAAGCAACATGCTCCTAGGGCCCCAATTAACATATTAATACATTTTTCTTAATGTAATGAAACTGGGTTTTGCCTCAGCCATAGTCAGCTTTACTCCTCACCTCCAGAGGTTATCCACATTGAAATCAGAATCTGCTATTCTGGGAAGGTAAAGAAGGGCAGAGACTTTTTGGAGTGGAGGGACAGTGGGGGTGGAAATCACCTGGCTGCATCAGTAATATATCTAGCTCTTTATTATATTCACATTCCCCCTTCTCATCTCCCATGAAACTGCCAACAGCTGTGTTCTCTCAACCTTCGGTCTGAAAGACATTAAAAAGCAGTCTGCAGGATGACTGCAGTTTTTAAAAAGAGTCACTCCCACACATGTAAGCAAGCAAGGAAATGAGAAAAGTTAAAAAAAAAAAAAAAAAAATCATCATGGTGCCACTGCAGGAGGTAGAGCCAAATATTTTAAATGGTTCAGTAACTCTATTCCCTGGAATAAAATAAGGTGAGACATATTGGCCAAGAGAGCGTCTAGTTTGTAAAGTCCCACTGACCCTTTCCACCATGATGAGGTAAGCCATTGCCTAAAACTTAAACTGAACTACTTTAATACCACTACATCAAACACCACCTGCAAAAGGGCCTTTTAAGTCTTAAAAGTACTTACTTCTCACTAGTGAAAAGACTGTAGGAGCCTAAAGAGGGTCTGAAAAGTATTAATGAACTTGGCATCACAAAATCAGTTCTTCTGGCAACTCTGAGCAAACAAAATTATAAGCAGCAAATTCCAACAGGAGCTGCCAACTCTTATTTCATGGGTTGGATCAAGCTCATGTTAAAGGTAGTGAGATTAAAGAGTTTCTCCAGCTGATGACCAACTGTTTGATACAAGATCAACGGTTTGCAAAGCATATTTAAACTAAAAAAACCTCTACTAGTCTTTATGTAGTGTTGGCACAAATGACAGGTATCAGTCCCTTGGAAGTTAATGACATACGGAAGATACGCCTTTTCTCATCTTGTTTAGCTGCTGCTGTGTCAATCTACAGAGACAACTGCCATACCGTTTCTTACACAACTACAATGCTCTGTGGGTTATTGTGGTAAAACACAAACATCCCCATTACAGAAGACGTTGCTCGCTCCTTTAATTTCATTTTTCCGCAGTGCTTCTGCTGAAGAAAGTTGATGGGAGACAACTGACTCAAATTTCCCCTAACTCTCCTCAAATGCACACTGAACACTTGACAATGCCCACTTTTCTATTTTCCTCTCCACGGCTCCATCGGAGAGGACCCTCTGTGTATTCAGAGAAGCACAATGGAGAATGATTTCCAAAGCATTAACTTGGAGCCATTGAGACTTGGGTTTTTTCAAAATGACTCTATTGTGCTCAAAGGATTCTAGACTACCCCAGCTACTCTAGAAGAGAGTCTTTTCCCCTTTCTCAAAACGTCCATCCCTCGAGCCATCCCTGGAGTGCATTGTTGGGGCTGATTCCTTAGTGCAGCGAGTTCCATCAGTCAAAGCTCAACAGATACAAATAATATCAGGATATGGATATAAATTAGTGCGACAGACCTTAAATAGTTTTGACAGGTTTAGTAAGTATATATAGCGACACAGAATGCTATTCCCGCTGTCAGACATCAATATGTAGACAGAAGATTGGGGGCACCATGGAAACTCAGCGACATAAGAGTGGTATTGATTGGATAGAAAATGAGGCTGCAATTTAAGCTTAAGGCTGCCAGAGATGCCAAGAATGGAGAACGACCTCCAGCAGTGAATTTTCAGCATAAGCTCCCTGTGAACGAGCCAGTCCAAGAAGGATAAATCAGGGACAAGCTCACCAGGGATATGGGTCGACCGAATGCCGGCTACCCTAAGCAGATGAGAATCACTCTGTGTGTGCGCGCGTTACAGTGACCTAGTTCGTTCAAAGACAGCATTTTGAATGGTTTATTATAGAGGCTTGAAACAAAGAGGTTTCCTCAATTAAAGTCCTGAAATGAATCCTCTAAATGAAAATGCTTTTGATACACTGATCAGCGAGAGGTTGTAAATATCGAAGCAAAGCGCACATTGTTAAAAACCAGTTCCCACAGAAAACCCCATGGTTGGGAGTGTGCGTAATGAGGGGGGCCTGAACAGAGCTGGAGGTTGAGTGAGCAACGCCAGGTCCATCCCTAATGCCTCAGTCTTAGGCTGAAACACTTGTTACATTGTAACACTTGATAAATAAATAAACACTTCCCTGGTGCAAAACCACACTAAAATAAAATAGAGCGTGATTTAAAGGAGTGCGTTTTCAGGGCTCCTGTAAAAGATTATTTTTAATTGTTATCTGAGGACTCAGGAACAACCGTTCCCAGAACAATTAAGAAGAAACATAGGATTTGTCAGGGAAATACCTTGCTGGAGCCGCGACTGTGGAAAGTCAGCTGAGTAATAATATTCACATTAGTGACAGAAAGATGAATCTACACAAAACATCCATCAGTACAGTTGTGTCAGGAATAAGATAAGCTTCTAAAGTGTCCTCGGTGTCAATATGGGCGTAGAGGAACACAAGCATATGGCACTGGGATAGCAGCACTACGGTTTGTAATACTATAGTAAGACCAACCTTCTGCTGGCAAGGACATATCAGCCACAGACTGCGTCTCAAATAACTGGTGATAGACATCTGGATAATTGCAAAAAGTCTGTTTTTCTTAGGCTACTTCTACACGATAAACAAAGATTTGCCGTTTGTTAAAAAAAAGATGTGTTCCTGGCTTCTCTTTCTTCCACCTAAGAGCCTGCTCCAGAGCACGCTAAATTCAATAAGTTTCTGTCCTTCAATTTCATCCAAAGCTTCATAAGTAATAAGTCACCAAAGAGTTTAGCTTAGCCTGGAGACAGGGGTATATTAAACCCCTGCTTTCTTTCCATTTAGGGAGAGTCACTAAACTATGCAGCAGATTTTTTGTTGCTGGGGGTTTTTTTTGGTTTGTCTTCTCCAATGAAGTACCCTCTCCATTCACTTCCAAATTTTCATTACGATAGCAATTAGCAAATTTTGTCACAAATATGCAGGTTCCTTTTTCCCTTCAGACCATTTCTCTTGATCAAAAGTTCAGACTTTTTTTTTTTTTTTCTTTTTCTAAATTCATGTGTCTTTGCAGGGAGGAAACAGAAATACACAGAAAAATACCCTATAAATTTTGCCTTGTAGACCAGCTCAAGCACACTGGCCAGAAAATGTAAAAGGCATTTCTTTATAACAACTTCTCCCATATCCTTCCCGTCTCTCTCTCTCCATCCCTTCCCTCCTCCTCCTCCCTAACACAAGCAGTTACACACTCAAGTCTATTTCTTTTCCAAAAACTTGAACTTTGCTAAAACCTCAGAACAATCAAGCCCCAAGGGGAAAACAAGGAAAGGGCAGAGAGTTCAAGAGTTGATGAGCCACCGGTAAAGCGTTCTTCCACTGTCATACAAGTCATTTAGAGCAAACACCATCTAGTTAAAAAACCCTACCATTACCCATAGCTGCAGGGTTATCTTGCACAGAAAGATTTAATGCATGTTGCAAACATGTCCACCATGCTCCTAAGAACCAACTAGTCTCTAGGGCTTACAACCTAGAATCCAGCTTCAGCGCGTACCACTAAGCTAGATATTCACCACCAAGGCAAAACACTTGTGGTGTAGAAGAGAAAAGTGTATGACAGCCAACTGGTACATGGAAAAGGGAGTAGATGAGCTCCCAAAGACTACCTTTCCCCTATAACAAGCTCTACTTTTAAAGAGGAGAGGATAAAGGAGGGCAAGGAGTTAGAAGCATCAACGTTGGAGACCATAACACATTTGCAGAATAGTGTGTACGCTCACCAGGAGGAAACTGTTTTTACCATCATTAACTCAGATTTTCTCCCAACCCATCCCTTCAGAGGAAGTCGAAGAAACAAACTAAGGATGGCAGTTTTAAACGCATCTATCAGCACTTGCTTGATTCAGTTGTTCCACCAAAAACTAGGGAGAGAGACGTCTAAGTCCCAAGAAAAACATCAGTGAAAGTGCTAGGTTTGAGGGTACAATCTAACCTCATTATCCCGAGTCTCTGCTGGGACGTTCCTGGCACAGGGCAACCGGGACCTGCAGGGGGTTTGTCGCTCTGAGGTCACTCCGCTGCCCTTTTGTCCTCTCGAAACGGACCAGCCCGAGGACTCCTGCCTCCCTTCCCCGCTGGCTCCTGTCCCCCACCGCCACCTCTCCTCTTCCTCACCCCGCCTTGACTTTTTATCGCTCCCCGGTACCGACCCCACCGCCGCCACCCCGAGCAGGATGCCCACCGCCCCGGGGACCGGCGGGGACCCCCACCACCGCCACCCCGTTTCTGTTCCCGGGCACCCCCAGACCTCACCCCCCGTCTGCGGGGCAGCAAGAGCCCCCCACCACCCCGCTGGTCCCACGGAGGCGAGATGTGGCCGGGGCTACGGAGCCACCCGGGGCTGGGACGAGTCCCCCCGAAGCCGAGACAGGGCTGGGAGGAGCGGGGGGGTACAGCGTTTGCCACCCTCCCCTTGAGGAGCGCGGGGCTCCATCCCTCCGACGGACCCCGGGAGCCCCCGCCGCCCCCTCGGACTTACTTCGGGCGTCAAAACCAGCTCTTCTCCCGCAGCTGAGAGGGGCGAGCCGCGGGTGTCCCCGGTGAGCAGCGGCTGCTACTGTCGTTGCTGCTGCCGCCGCCGCCGCAGCGCGTCCCTTCGCTTCCCCACGGACGGGCTCGCCCGCCGCCGCCCGCCCCGCTCCTCCTCTCTCTCTCTCTCTCCCGCCGGAGATTTCTGGCCGAGATTTTTATACCGGAGGCAGAGGAACCCGATCCGCGCTTTGACTCGGCAGAGCCCGGTGTTGGCGGCGAGAGGAGGGCGGCGGGGCAGAGCGAGCGGCCGCGCTGTCCCCCCCCCGCCCCGCTTCATGTGATGTACCGCGGGGGCGCGCCCGACGGGGCGGGTCACTCGCGGGGCAGCCTCGCCCCCACTGCGGGGGGACGCGGGACGGTGCGGGGAGGAGGGTGGCGAGGGGGCGGGATGGGATGGGACGGGACCGGAGGGGGGGCTCGGCGGCAGCTCAGTGCTCCCACCGGGAGGCACGGGCCCCCGACCGGTAACGGGCTCGTAAGGCGGCTTCCCCCCCTCTTTATCACGGCACGAAGCCCGAGAGCGAGGGGTGGGGGGACACCTCACAGCACCCACCCTCCCCGGCTGGTGCGGGGACTCCCCGCAGCTTCAGCTGCCTTTCCAAGCACAAACACAGTGTTTGCCCAAGTTGCCTTTGGCTGTCAGAGTTTGGGGAGCTCTAACTTTTTAGCCTCTCTGACTTCCAGCTTGCCCCGAAGCCTGCGGCAGTGTTGGACTGGACATGCTGCTGGAGGGGGGGTGGAATAAACAAAAAAAAAAAAAAAAAAAAAAAAAAAAAAAAAAAAAAAAGGAAAAAAAGAAAAACCCCAGCTTTTCATTTCAATCTGGGCTGAAAGTGCCATGAGAACAACTTTTGTCACGGTGTTTCAACACTTCTGGTTGTAGTGCTTGCTGGACATATATCAAGGCTTTCATTTAAGAGCAGGCTTTTCCAACTTTTAGGTTCATTACATCCATTGAATTAGAGTGTTCCCCAATCCACAGCTTAATTTAAAACTGAGTGGACTCGTTCCAAACTCCAGGCAATTTCTGTGTAATTCCCCATCCCCAGAGCAAGTCTCTACCTTGATGTGAAAGACTGAGCCCATTGACTGCTGGGGTCTCAGCTGGGGTTGCAGCTTGCAGCTCCTGCTCCAGGTTTGTACGGAAATCCAGTTCAGATTCTTCTCCTGTTTCCCAAGGAATGAGCTAAAAAAGTAATTTGTCTGGCACCGTACACATTGCATCATCTAACACCTACCATCTGTGACAATGAAAAGCACTGTGCGGCGAGTCCCAGCGTGGGCTATTGCACCCACCTGGAGTCTTTCTTAGTAAAGTAAACTACTCCTTTCCATCCACACCTTGGCATCTTCTTTTCATCACACAGTTATGTGTTTAGTCCTGGCATGGCTGTTCAGGATTTGCACCACCAGCAGATTTAATGACAGTGATGTAATTTAAAACAACAACTTTGATTTGCAGTCTAAAGCGGCGGCTGGAGATGGAGAGAATATCCTTTCTAGCAGCTGGACGAGTGGAAATGAGCACTCAATAGTAAAGTGTGCCTTCATGCTTCATAGCATGCAACCTGAATGGATCCTTGATAGGTAACTTGTCCCTCCCTGAGGGCTTCTCAAGGAAATCCTGGCATCACGGTGCTAAGCACCATGAACATCTAGAGCAAGACACTTTTCATCAAAAAACACCTGGTAGTGGTCGATATTTCGACCCCTCAGAGTTTGTCCATACAACCACAATAGCGCGTTTCAGATGGTCCGTCACAGAATGGACAGAGTTGGAAGGGACCTTAAAGATCATTTAGTTCCAATCCCCTTGCCATGGGCAGGGACACCTCCCTCTAGACCAGGTTGCTCAAATCATGTCTGAGTAACAAAGAGAAAGTAGGAAAGATGACAAAAACTGATCTGTAAGTTCACCTTGATTGAAACAAAAACAGATTGTGTTGAAGAGGGTTAAGAGATTTCTTCCTTCCTTAGAGAAACCTGAGTCTTAGCTAAACACTGAAAACTTAACATTTTCAGCTTTTCAGAAAACAATGGAAACTTTCTGCAGAAAGTTTCACCTTCTCTGCAAGGATATGCATAAAGTTAGAAGCCTCGTTTCTCCACCAAATTTTAGAACCAATGTCAATGGACAATCTTTGACCAAATTTACTCATAGCTTTTCTCCATACCTAGTTTTCCATAGCTCAGAAATTAATTTCCTGAAGCTGAGTTTACACACACAGAAACTAGTTTTCTGTGATACAGCTTGGGCTTTGAGTCAGAAAGTCCAAAATAAAACTGCAGTCAAGGTTAACACAGCTGCTCAGAGGACAGGTTATGGTCTAAAGCACCTATGACTGAAAATGAAATTATCTCACTTTTCAATTGACAAAAAGTAAATGTGTTTTAATGTTAATATTATTTCTGTTCCAATGGCACCTTGAGGCTTAACAGAGGTTTCCATTGCAACAAGCACTGTACAAATACAGAAAGATATTCTTTGCCCCAAATTGCCCGCTATGTTTGATGCCTTTTATATTAATGGAGTATAACATTTGAATTTCTTGACCAAACCTTTGCTATTGAGATAAATCTCCTAAAGACATAGAGGAAGGTGAGACAGTTGGTTAATACAGCTGTCTTGGAAGGACCAATGTAACTTCTTTTGTCAAGAAAAAGTCACCAACTACATGTTAATCACAGCCTGAAACACGCTTATTATGCTGGTTCCTAGTGGGAAAGAACGGGGCAGCATGGAGAAAAAGGATAGATTAATAAGCTGTGACCATTTACTTGACACAGGGATATTTTCCTTATTAAAAGAACTGTGAAGCTGGAGAGACTTACCTCCAGAACTTCTCTGCTGTTTTGTCTCTCCTGACTTTGTTTTCCAGCCAATGCTTTATTTCCTATATGATCTCTGGAACTACAGCCTAATCTGCAGTTCTTACTGCAGTTCTTACTGCAGTTCTTACTTATTCCATACTGAATAAACAGTTTTTGACTATTACTTTTCTAGTACAGCTAACATAGGAAGGGGAATTTCTTCTCAGATTTCCAGTAATACTTATCTTTAAAATCCTCAACATTTGTTTGCAGCTGCTGGTTCCACTCTGAGCAAAAAACAGGTGAGGAATGGACAGGGGCTGTAGAAGTCCGATTTCGACTTTCATCTATCCTCTTGGCTACCCAAACCAAAAATTGGCAACCTAATGAAAGAGAGAGACATACATGAATTTTCTTTCAAAAAGCAAAAATGAAGGTTAGGGCTATAAGCAGTTATAAAAGGACTTTTGATTGATGCCACATGCAAAAACTCTCATAAACAATCCAAAAGTATTAGATCCCAATTAGAATCCCAATTCAATCAATGAACGTTCAAGGCAATTTTGGGAAAAGAAGCTCCCAGCATTAGACATGGTTTGTGGCAAAATGTAGAAAGCCACCTATAATGAATTTCATCTCACTGAGGGTTTTGGGGTTTTTTTTCATTTTGAAAAGAACCAGATTTTCCCCCTGAAGCTGGGTTTTTCAGTACTTTTAGGTAGCCATTTCACAAGCCACCTGAAGGTAGTTACTTGGATCTCATCAGCTTCCAACAGGAGTTTGCACTTTTTTCCAGAGATGCCCTTGAAAAAATTTTGCCTCTAAAGCTCAGACTACAAAATCAGAGGGCAAGGCTTTTTGAAATTTTCTCCCAAGAAGCGCTTCACTGTTTTGGTTCCCACTGCTGAGTAGAACGAAACTATATTTTTCAAAAAGCCAACATCACCCCTTGTGCACCAGTTAAAAGGTCAGCTTGGACTGAGCTTGCTGTGTTTGTTTCAGATACGCTGTAAATATCAATTTCTTTCTCTCGCCCTCCCTAGCCATCAGCAACAGCAGCTCCAGGAAGATGTAACGTGATTCCAGGAAAGCAAAGAGGAGAACTCGACAATAGTTTAAAGATTTTTTCACCTTTCGCTCCATTGTCGTTCTGGAGCTATTGAGCTGCCAGACCCTGGCAACTGAGTGCCCCACATCCCCACTCCTGCGCTAAGATCAGATTTCCATTAGTGATACTGAATTATTTAGTGAATGCATCGAAGATTGAAATCAACTACTGAGCTGTGTACCGTCTCACTCTATCTTTCATTTCAAGCCCGCACAATGGCAGGCGTATTGTCACAGAGACTATCAATCCTATAATTAGAGTAGAAAAATCCATGGAGTTCAAAAATAATAATTCATACCTCACTCTAGTATTAAAGCAATTCAGTATATAAAAAAAACATTTTTCCCAGATGTATGCGGAAGAAGGCAAACAGAGAGCCTAGACCCGGGAGAGTTATTCTTTCATGCACATATGCTAAAAACTTCAGATATTTGAAAACAAAGTCACTGTCCCAGAACTTGGTCTTAAGCTTCAATCACCAAACCGTGAATACATGTTGTAACTTTACACATTTGACTGACTCTATTTTCTACAAGGGGATTAAAGCTCTTGTGCTCAAAATTATTCATGTGCATACATCTGCATGTTGCAGTTTCAAATCCACAAATATAATGCAACACAGCAGGCCTTTCCAGATCCCCAGCCTTTAAAAGACTGCTGTTCGTATGTTGCCTTCTCTCACTATTTTCTTCTTTTGTGCTGGCAATCCTGGGAATGGAAGTTCTACATAACCAGGATTTGAAGACTATTTTATACATATATAAAAAAAAAACCTTAGCTATGGTAAAAAAAATTGCTGCTTTGTGTACATTATCACGTTTTTAGCCATTTGAATAAACATATTCATTTCACTCCAGTTTCACAATTTGAGGTGAAGTATAAACCAAAACAAAACAGCATTTCATTTTGGAGGGCTGAGCAAAAGCTACCAGCTTTGTTCTGCTTTCTGGGGTTTTGTCACTGTGTATTTCTGGGTAAAAATCAAAGCAAAAGGCAGAAACGAAATGTTCTCCCATTGAAACAAAACCAATAAAGATAACGCTTTCATTTGGTGTCAAACTTCTGGCAGAAAATTACTGAACAAATAGAATGTAAATTTCTTTTTCAGCTTCTCTCAGGAAGAAGTTGATTTGCTAATACCTATTTTTTCTCGAGCCACTATACCCACATGCATAACTACTCTATAAAAGGACTGGCTTTAGAAGTAGAGAAGGTAGTACTTATAATGCCATCAAATCAGTCCTTGATACTTCATTAAGACAGTCAGCTAGTATCAGTCATAGTACTAAATAGCTTTCCCCTAGACACTGAAGTGAAATGGTCAATTTGATTCTCAGTGACAAGCCAGCAATAACAAATTTGAGGCACTAA